ATCCTGCAGGACTGAAGAGAGGTCAGCCCTCTGCCTCCCACTTTAAAAGGGAGCCAAGGGGCAAGGAAAGGTTAAACATGGGGTAACTTGACTAACTTACCAGGTTTGCAAAGTGCTTGCGCTCCCTTTATCCATGTTCATTGTCCAGATGTACCTGCACAAGGAGTATTTCTTGGCGAGCAAAGGGCTCTCCAGCCCTGCAGAAGAAAGCAAAGCAAAGGGACCCTCTGGCTGCAGGCGGCTGAGGGGCAGAAGCCAGCGAGCAGAATCATCAGGCATGTGTTGACTCCCACCCAGCGTGCACCGTGCTGCTGTACACACACACACACACGCTTACACCAACTGCTACCAGCTCGTCCTCCCGCAGGGGCTGGCGGAGGAATCCCACGGGGAACCCAAAACACTCTATGCTGGAAATCACTGCTCCCAGCAGCTCTTATTTTTAAACGTAAGTTGCAGCCCTTATTTACCAGCAGGCGCGGTGTTGTCAGGAGCAGCGGCGGCGGATGCCTCGCTTGCCTTTTGCAAAGTAAACCTCCTGTTTTGACTGCAAGCTGATTGATGCTCAGTTATTTGGGGAGGAGTATTTCTAGCTACACAGTGCAAGCCGCAGTTATCAGCCAATTAAGTATTTATGGCCAATTCCGTTTTCCTTGCAAGGCGTTTGGAAAGCAAGCACCGGTTACATCAGCGAAACGGGTTAAACTGTGCTCTGCTATAAACAGCTCCACATTGGCCTACCAGAAACAACAGACACAGAAGTCCTGTAAAGGCTTCTCTTAAGGCTTGGAAGCTCAGAAGCAATCCATCATCAGAGTGAGTGTGGTTTAAACACCGCAGCAGTAACTCAGCCTGTCTTCAGTGAAGCATTACCAGAGCATGAAAGAAAAGGCCACGGGGTCCTGGCCTTGCAAGAGGAGGGTTAGCTGCTATGGGGGCTTCCTATGGACTGCTCACCAGGTGAACATCTGGGACAGCTCTTTCCTGCCTGACCCTTGTCAGGTGCACCCCATGACCACGTGCGGCATCTCTGGCGGGTGCTGATTTAACCCCGGTTCCCTGCTTTTCCAGCATGGGCCATCACCTCCAATAAGCTCCTGTCTTCCCAAGATCACTTAGAAACCCTGGATCCAAACCCAAACCAAACTAACTGCCTTTAGGATGCACCAACAGGGAGAACTGCTGTTGTAGCCCCTTCAAAAAACCAAACCCCAAACCAAACCCTGCCACCTATTCCAGATGTCAGGGCAGCATCACCACCACCCTTCCCCCGCCGCTTGACTTTAGCGACCAGTTGCACACACTGGGGGACTCAGTCTCTCCCAGCTCCTCCAGCCGGTACCCACCCACCCTTCTCTGTTCAACTCCATCAACAATTGAAGGGCAGACTCCTGCTTTCACAACCGGCCTGGTGACATGGCAAAGGACAAACCACTTGACAGCTTGTACCTTTGCTTTTCGGTCTGTAGTGGGTTGTTTACAACACTCTCCAATTTCTGTGAAGTAATACTTCACATTTACCGAGCGTGCTTGAGCCCATGGATGAAACGTAGCACTTGAGTCATCTTGCGCCTGTCACAGCCTCCACCAGAGACCAACCAGTCATTTGGTTGTTGGTTGCCACACGTCTCCCAGAGCAGCCATTCCTCCATCTTCAGCTGCTGACAAGAGGCCAAGCCCCCGGTGACCGAGAAGGTCATTGCAGCCTTTAAAACCAGTGGTCTATGACAGCGGGGTGAGAGAAGTCAGCCTAAACAAGGACAGGAGAACACTTCAAATGCCACGGTAATGGCGTGAGGTGACAAACACACACCTGTTCATAGGTTATTGTTGTAACCTCAGGACAGCGTGACTGCGAAGTGTGACTGCGGTCACCCCGTTCACTTCCCTGCCTTCATTGCAGCCGGTGTTAATCCAGAAATGATTTTCTTAAGTGATATTTATCACACAGCACCTCCCGGCAGCGCTAGAGAGAGCTGATGCCTCGCCGAGCTCACGAGGACCAGAAAGCATCTGTATTTCAGATGCATTGGAATGCCTCAAAAGCAATCAAAAGCTGTGACCAGTCACCGAGGCATGACCGCAGCTCAGTCCCTTTGTGTCCCACTCCTGCGGAGGTGCTGGGATTTTTTAAAAGGCAGCCTTCACAGGAAAACTACCCTCCAAAATTTGGTGTGCGAGAGCATCAAGCCTTTAAAGTACCTCCTGCTTTGTGCTCCCCGTGTTGGTGCTTAGAAGAGGAATTGGTTTTAAAAACCACTGCCAGCTCAAAATGCCCTGCTCACCTTCAGCTGGGGCTGCAGAATATCTGCTCTGGTTTAAACAGCTAATTGGTACCCGAAACAAAAGGCAGTGGGAAATTGGTGCCAGCAAATAAAAAATACACTTGCCTGTGGTCTTCACACGAGATGTCTGAAGTGTGCAACGCCAGCACGGCACCACGGCTGGAAAAGCGATCTTCTTTTAAGCCGCTTTCAGCTGTAACGCCTCTCGATGTACATGCCGGGACAAGCAGCTCCAGCTCCGACCCGTCGGCAGTCCTGACAGCTTCCCATTCATAGTACAGCCACCTCAGCACAGGGATTTGTGCCGGGCAGTAAATGCAGGTGTCTGCAATTCACTGTAAGCACTTTTATACTTCACACACATATATATACACAGACACGCTGAGGGCCATCACTTTCACATTTCACCAGAGAAAAATTATTCTTCAGGGTCAAGGAGGGGAAAGGCGCTGCCATTTGTGGTCTCTGCCGAAACGGGATCCTTGGATGAACACTGAAGCACACTGCACTAAGTGCTGCGTGGTGACAAATATTGTGATACTAGGAAAAAAGTCACCCCATGAGTGACTACTGTCAGTTTAAGTGGACGGCAGCATAAGACATTGTGGTATTCAGGATTAAACCAACCCAGATAAGCTGCAGCAAGGCACGAGCTAGGCCTGCACTTGAATCTGAGTGCTTTCGCCACACTCAAGAATATTTGCCCGCTCCTCTCTGCTGAAAACCCCAGGAGAACAAAGAATCTTTTGAGGGCAATGTTTTAAACCTAAATGTGCTGCAGTATGAAAATTCCCCTCTATAAAAGCTGAAGGAGGATATAAAATGCTCAGAGAGAGGTAAACTGGTGCTGCCACTCTTGTTAGTTCTAGGATATACTGTTTCTTTCCCATTCATGAATAATTTTCTGTGAAACCTGTGTCTAAGTAAGTCCTCTTGTGCATTGAATTTCAGCAGCCCTGGAGCCAACATCCTCCCAAAGTTGTACCAGCTTGAAACAGTTCAGTGCTTGGTACCTTGCACCCACAGCGACGGTTTGAAAAGCAGAGCGATGTGAATTGGCTTTTTAAGGACAGGGTCGCTCTTCCAGGAGCAGCAGCCTGGGGCTACCTGCCCCAGAACTAGAGCTCAGTAGCCCACTGGGGTTTTCTGCTCCAGGACCTGTTGTCACCCCCGGTGCCAGCTGACAGCAGGCACTCCGGCTGTGACTGACAGCCTCGGTCAACACACGCAAACATCCTGCCCCGGGAGGCTCTCCCATCTGTGTAGGGTTGACTGGAGTTGAGGTCTCTAGGTGAGGACTGCATTTCCCACCAGCCTCGCTCAAGCTTGCTCCTTGGAGAAGCCACCAGGTTCACCCAGAGGAAAGGCTGTCTGAAACTTGGCCCGTATTAAACTGAGCTTATGTACTCCTGGTGCGCCACCACTGCTGCGTTCAACTGAGTGAAACCAGGGCAAACCAGCCCTCCCCGTGTGGCTCTCCGCTGACCTTCACATTGCCACTCACTTCTGCAAAACCTGCATGGGAAGCAGTAACAGTGGTGTAGATGAGCAGGGTCTGGAAGCATCTGACGTTTATTTGGTGCAGCAGAAACCAGGAGACCTGAGTTTTGTCCACCCACTCCCACCTGCACATCGTCTCCCTGCAGAGCAGCAGCCGTACCGATGCCTGGGAAGAGGTCCTTAAAGGTTCCTCATGTTTGGTTGCTGAGTGAGCCAAGAGCAGCTGGTAATCAGTGACACCACCAATCTGGGGGAGCAGACAGGAATCCAGACGGAGGAAAGCCCATTGCTCACAGCAATTCACAAACAAAAAGCAAACTCGTTTTTTTTTTAAAATTTATTTATTCCTGAAAGTGTACAACTAGAATATAAAAATATTCCTTGGTGAAAGCAAAACAGAAAAGGGTAGGAAATGAATGCCAAGTGAAAAACATTTGCATGTTCCAGGGGAAGAAGCCTCCAGAGACAGAGCTTGGAGACTCCTCAAGCTTGGAATTTAAGGTCATATTTCTATTTTACAGAAACTTCCTATAGCAGATCCATAAGTTATCTCATTGTGACTCATAACTCGGTGGAATGGGTTTCTAGCTTGTTCTCTTTGAGAACCCAATTACTTCAAGTGCATCACACCAGTAAATGAAGCCAGTGTACTGCTTTATTTATTATTAGGCATTTGTTTTTCCTTATGGTGACTGCATTATAGCTGCCACAAATATGCAAACCAGCTGAATTAAAACAGCACACTTTCCTGAACATTTCCAATCTCTGTAAGCCTTGGTACTTTGCAAGTTCTCCAATACCTAGATTATTCTGACTAATGAACTCTTCCATTTGCTTGAAAATATTGAATGCAATTAGTACTTCAATGTGCAGCCTCCAAGTATGCTGTGCCTAGCAGCTGAGTGCTGTAAAAGAGCCCAGTGCTTGGCAGAAGAACTAGAAATCCGAAAGATAAAAGGGAGATTTACGCACGCTCCCACCAAGGCCTGCTGCAGAATTTAATTGGCAAGGTTAGCAATAAAGGGGCTGCAGAGAGAATCGCCAAGGTTATGGCCCCAGTGCAAGTCACAAAGCAGGAACAAGTTATGATTCCCAGGCTTAAAAATGAGAAATTACATTTGGTTCCTCACCTCGCACTCCCCCAGGCCAAGCTGCGCAATGTGCTCTGATCAAGTCAGTCTATTTCTTTGCTCTTCTCAGTCCAGCTTTATCTCTTCAAGGGGAGATACAAATCACTCCATCCAACCTTTCTGCAATTTCATCCAGCCTCTGCCTGCACTCTTCCTGCAGCTGCTTCAGCTCTCTCGCCAGGCTGGCCTCTCTCATCTGCAGTTCTCTGATCACCTCTGTAGCACTGACAGCTGAAACAGGCTCCTTGGATACAGACCTATCGAAGCCCATTTTGCTGGCAAGATGTTTGTTTCTGAACACCAGTCTGCACGAACCATGTATTTTCTTTTTGTTTGGAGCACAAAGGCACGTAAGATCGAGCAGTTTTAGTTCAACGCTTTCCTGTATCTTCCGAGCAGTGGCAGAGAACCCCTCCTTCTGTAGTTCCTCCTCTCTTGTTTTCACCTGTAGAGAGAAGAAAAAAAGGGGGGGGAAGAGTATGGTAGATTTCCATGAAAAACATCCTCCCACCAGGAAACAACACAAAACAGCACGTTTGGACTAGGACGTACCAAAGAGAAGAGAGCCAACTGTGAATGTAAACCTAAGCGCGTGGCAGTGAAAACTGAATTCTGTTAACAGGTGCCTTCTATCAGGTAGCAGCATCAGTGACCAAAAAGCTGCCTGTAGTAATTTTTTTGCAGATTCACAGTCTAAAAGCCCCTCCACTGATGACTAATACGCAAGGGCTCTGCATGCTGCCCTCTTACCGGGGAGTGGGAGGTTTGACTTCAGAGCAAAACACACGGAGCAAAAAAGGAGACCCAGCAGAGTGACCTTTATCACCGTTGTGCTTTAAGCCACCACGTTGTCATAATAGATTAATTGCCTCATGACTAGGGGTATTAATTCAGTTTGCAAATGCTTTCTGCACTTGGCAAGGCTAAAAAGTAGGGATGACAACTGTAAGCTAGAAATTCTTTCATTCTCAATTCTCATTATGGGGTAAAAAATAGGAAAAAGAAAATAATGGAGCAGAGACAAAAAAAAGTAGAGGCTAAAACCAAAATGAATACCAGGCAGCACACTTTCACTGAAGACAGGCCCAATAAAACAAAGCTTTTCTTGTGACAGAATCACAGTCTGGATGATAAAAGCAATTGTATATACTGGGATTTCTCCAAAGCATTTGATTTAATGTTCTCTAACAATTTGATTTGAAGAACTTGCAAGACGGTAATTGCCTTGCCAATTTTACTAGTGGATTAAACATGAATTCGGTGACTCATCTCAAAATGTAGTTGTCAGTGGGGAAACATCCATAAGAAGAGGCACCCTGCACTAAGGTCCTCAGGGAAACGCTTCGTGGTCCAATGGCACTTTGTTTCTGCCACGGCAACAAGCTGCCAAATCAGCTCAGCCAAAAAGCAGCAAAGTCTCCGAAAAGCGATGCTGCCTCTGCAACCTGCACAAGTCCCAGAGCTCTCCTGGAACCTGTGCGCAGTTCTGGAGTTCACGCTTCAAAAAACACAGGGAAACAGAGAGCAGGATTCAAAGGCAGGTCACCCATGAGTCACAGCCCAGAAAACAAGCCAAATAATATGAAACTTCAAGAGCTCAAACTATTCCGTTCATGGAGACATACATAATTTGTTTTAGATCCTAAAAGAAAGTGGTGAGAGACCAGACTTTGCTGACAAAGCCATAGGAAGATCAAATGGATGAAAATTTGAGTTAGATATTCAGCTTCAGAATAAAACATTGTTTCCTACTGTGAGGATAATAAACCATGAAATGCTTCATCGCAGCTCCAGGGATGAATCCTTTGGCCAAAGCTCATCTCAGGTCAAGCTCAGCGCTAAGATACCCCCCTTCCAGCCTTGAAGCTGATCTGCAGCCCCTCCCTTCCCTGGCCACGGGTGAAGCTGAACAACTCCTTGGGGTTTTAAATCTGCAGATCTGCATTAAGATATTGGTATCTCACATATTAGGGCTTTGACCAGTTCCCTGTAAAGTCAGGGATGTTCTGGCATCTCTCTGAAGCACCAGAGATCAGTCAGAGCTCAAAGCAGCACCAGCTGCCAGGACAAATGTCCTAAGGTAGCAGAGATCCCCCTTGCCTTTGCCACTGCCAAGCCACAACTGCTCAGGGTCAAACCGGCTGCTGTATCTGGAGACAAAAGGATTTTTTTTCCATAGATCAGTAGGGAAGGTTTTATTACTGAAACAAATTCAGAAGCTTTTGACATACAGGGGCTCAGATTACATTTTCTTACGGTGAGAAACACTGCAGGCACGAGGGCTGCAGTCACAGTTAAATTCCCCGCTGACGCTAACTTCACCAGGGCTTCACTCACTTAGCCCAAGTCTTTCATCAGAATATCTTCATGTGTTTTGCAGCCAAGTAATTAATCCTCTCCATAGTTATCCCCCTAAACACAACTCAAAAAAGATGAAGAAAATCAATCAAATCAGAAAAGAAGTAAATTCTTCCTAACACGTTAAAGGCTTTATCGATGCAGAACCATCTGTTAAAGAAGACCTCTGTTGATTGTGGCATTTGAATAGACAGAGTTGAAGCCAAGAGAAGTCTATCTTTGCCCTTCTCCAAGAAGCAAGGGTCCCTCTTTATCATAATCCCCAAGGAATCCCAGGACATCTCTTGCTGTTGGCTAAAAGAATATCTGAGGTCCAATTCTCTAACACCACTTTAGAAGAAACAAAACTGAAAAAATAAATTCAATGTTATCTGGTCTCCCCACTGCCAATGAATAAATGGAAAATGATGTTTGCACAAAGTGGATTTAACGTTGGAATCCAGGATGGGAAAAATTTCCCATTACTGACAAAGAACAAAATTGCTCAGCAAACAGAGCCCACAAAATGTTATTTATTTTTTTGCATTAAACTCGGGCAGAATATTAGTAGGGCTGTATAAAAGGATTCCTAATGAAACATAGGTTTTCATACTCTCCACCAGCCAAAATTGGAGAATTTTATTATCCATTGTGCAAGGCACATGATGGAAGAGCACGCTCCTCTCAGCACTAAGTGCATTGAGTTCTAACTCATAGCAAAGAGCAGGCATAGGAATTACTGTCCTGAAGCAGGAGCAGCTGTAAGGACAAGGACAACAGCCTTACAGTTAGGCAGTCAGGGAAGCAGAAGTATAACAAATTCTGACATCCAAGTATCAGAAGAGCACTGCACGTGTTCTCTTCTGTAAAGAGAAGCAATATTTCCTGGGACAACATTAGATAAATTTAACAGGGGAAATTTTCAAACTAACAAATATGAAATAAGAGAACTTTAGCAAAGCACTATTTATTTCGTATCAGCACAGCCTGGAGTTGGAAGGCTAGCTCCTTCTAGCTGGCTAGCTAGAGTTCTTTTTGGCACTGTTTTTCCTGGTAAGCTCTGCAACCACGTGTACATCCAACAAATACCCTTGTTGCGGTTTGTAGATTTCAATAGCTAAAAATCTCTGAGGGATACCTTCAAGTAATATTCTTTACTCTTCACATCCTGAACACTTGTGAAAATACTCAATAACCTCCTTGTGTACAGTTAATTGATGCTCTTTAACAGCTTGCTGTCTCCCATTAGTCAGCACACAATGATTACTCTACACTGCAAAACAATCTCAGCAGACTACTTTGTATTAAACAAACATATTGTAAAAGATTAGGAGCCTCTGCATTTTGTGTCTGCCCGTCTCTATCCCACAGCTCTGCCTTTCAGTCTCAATCTACCAGCTGGAAGTTGAATTCCCAATTAGGTACGTAGTGCTGTCTGACAACTGCTGTACATCCTCTCCGAATAAATAGAACAACACGATAATAATTGTTTCCACTTCTACAGAACCAACCTCATCCCAAAGGAACCCGGTGCATTTTGAGAAAAGTTATGCCAAGCGTGGAGGGAATCAGCTGATGGGGAATCAGCATCTTCAAACTGACACATATCCCACTCTGGGGCGAGTACCGATCTGGTTAGCTGTTCACAACAGCACAACAGAACAGTCACTCACAAACACTGTAAATGAGTCCACAAAGCGTGCTGTCCCTCTGCACGCTCCAGGGTCAATGTACCTTACCAGGTTTCACATTCCCAAGACCATGATCAGCTAGCAGGAACCCTCCATGGTATGCAAGTGTCCTCTTCAGCCCTGTAAGGGCTGCAGATCGACAGACGCCATAAACATACCCCGAGGCAAGTACTCCTGCTGGGTTCTTGCTAGCTCTTCACCTCACCATGTCACCAACCACTGTTTGGGACAGGATAGTGGCCAAACTGCCCTGAGTGCTCCTAGATAGTTTCCTTTAAAATAACCCGTTTTCAAAAAAAACACTACAAGTTTTCAAAAGGTGTTACAAACTAAATGCTAAGGGGAAAACTGTAATAATTTTCATGTTCTAAGGAGAAGCCAAGGAGCTAGCCTAGTTGCAGATAGGAGTACTGCATCTTAGATTACAGACTGAAAAGGGACTGAAGTGACAGACAGCCTGTGCTGCCCTTCCCAAACCTGGCACAGTGCAAAGGTGTGCACAGACACTACTGCCAGATTCACGCACAGGAATACACGCAGGCATAAGCACGAGAATAAAACAGATCTCTTTTCAACATCGGCTGGAGGGTGGGCAGGGACGGGTGGCCTCTAGTTCCTGACATAGTGGAATTAAGTCAGGTGGGACATGCATCAAGTGTGGATAGGATTTCCCATCTCCCCAGGGACAGTGCCATGACTGATGCTGCGTTTCCAAAAATGTTCAGGCTGAGGTCTGATTGAGGAAAATGGCCAAGCCAAAAAAAGAGAAGGGTGGGCCAGTCCGGAGTCAGAAAGGGGCAGTGAGGTGAGGCGCATCCAAAAAAAACAGGCTGAGCAGAAGGCTTGGCTCAGTCCCCACCACAGTGGATGAACTTACGCACTGATGCACTGGGGAGACCTCAAGCCTGCAAATACCTACACACATGATTAACTTCCCCAGCACTTCCTCACCCCTCCCTTCTCTGAAATTTCTTCCAACCTAAGGTAGCAGACAGCTATCTCAGCGATTTTCAGTCCTGGGAGTCTTCTGGCTTTGAATACGTTTTATAGCAATGAGTTCAGCGAGCAAATCTTGGAAAAGGCAATGTATAGCACATTTTAAATGAGCTGTCTCCCAGTTTCTTTGCATGTTCCACTGTTTTGAGGCCAGAACAGTAACACCCAAGTGCACCTCCTCTGGACATGTGCTATTTGTCATGTGGACAGTCCCAGTCTTTCAGTTGCCCATCTTGTGGAGGTCTACTTCTATCAACTGCTTAGATGACCTACACATTTAGCTCATTTGATCTCTCCTCAAAGAGGAGACCTTCCAGCCCTTCACAATTACTGCTGTGGCTTCCTCAGCGCCCTCACACTTGCCTGCACCTTGCTGGTAATGAGCTTCCCAGAGCTCTGTGTCTCATTCCGTGTGGCTCAG